ATGCATAATAATAATCCCGTTGATAATGCATTGTAAATTAATGATTATATTATCATGTATTATCAGTGATAAAGTGACAATGATAATGTTTGCGGATTTGTTGCAGAAAAAAAAAAATTACAAAATAAGAGAAAGAAAATAAATGAGCTAATTAGTAAATTGATAAGTCAAAAGAAAAAATAAATGAATGATAAAAAAAAGAAAGAAAAGGCAAACAGATAATGAAAGAATTTTTGTCTTTTTTTTATTTTTTTAATTAATCAAATTTTAAATTCATATTTTAATTATTAACATTTAACATTTATTCCAATTTTAAACATTTTATCAAATTTGTCAATTTACTTAAACGAAAAAAAAAAAGCAAAACAAAAGGTCACCCACAGTATACTCTTTCTTTAATTGTTTTTTTCTCTGAATGCGGAAATATTCAATTGAAAACTTTCAGCTGAAAAATGAATTTGTAATGAAAAAGCGTAAATTCCTCCTCTCTCACTTCCTATCTTTTTCACCAATCCTTTAAAAGTGCTTTCGTTTTCTTTCTTTTCACTCTGTCTTCTTTCATATCAATATAATTTTCACATTCAACGATTGGTTGCATACATATTTCACAAACTTCACCTACCGTATCCATCCATTATTGAAGAAATTTTATTACTAAATTTTAGGAATGAAATAAAACTTTAATTCTAATTCTAACTTAATTGCCAACCAAATTATGAAAAAAAAGTCGTTTTTTTTAAAAAGAAAAATTAAATTTAAAAGATTAAAATTCTTCCTAAAAATATTTTTGAAAGAAAACAAAGAAACAGAGGGATATAATTTGAATAATTTGAAAAAAAAAAATTTAGAAATTGAAGGAAAAAAAAGAACCAAACATTAATTATCAATCGAATTTCTTTTTCATACGGTAGGATATACTCTTTTTCTCTTTGTAACAGATCTCATTTTCCATTCTTCCTTCTTCTCATATTCTCTACTTTCTACTCATCATTCTCTTTTTCTCCCCCCTTTTTCCCCCTTTCCCTCTCTTTTACTATTAAATAAATAAAAGTAATTCAATTCTTTATTTGCATTTCTTTTGTTTGAAAGAGGAAAAAGAAAAGAAAAATGAAGAAGTGCAAGAAAAATTTTTTCTTAAAATGAAAAATGTAAAAAAAAAAGAGAAAAGAGAAAGGGTAAGAGTGAAACACAAAAATGAGATATTCATTTAAATTCAATAGTTGATGAATATAAGAAAAAAAGAAAAAAAAAAGAGAAAAACTGAAAAGATAAAAAGAAATGAAAGAAAAATATTCTTTTATTTAGAAATAAGCGACATAAACCTTATCTATTATCTTTCCTTTTTTTTTTATCCCCTTATCTTCTTCCTTTCTTGCTTCTTCCCCTTTCACTCTCTCCCTTTCTCACTCTCTCTTCTCACCAATTTTCCCTCTTTAACCAAATTTTTCATAAACGAATATTTTTTTTTTTTTTTTTTAAAAAAGAGGTAAAACAAACAAAAAAAAAAAGGAAAAGATCCCATTAAAAAAAAGAAAAAAAGTTTAATTTATGTAAATGAAAATTAAAAATGCAATAATAGTATTGGGAAGAGACGTAGAGATAGTATGAGAAAATGTTAAGATACAGTAATAAATGAATGATACCATATGTGAGGGGAAAAAAAAAATTCAAATATTTTTAAAATGAAATGATTAAAAATGCGTTTGCCTTCTAAAATTAAAAAATACAAGAAAAAAAAAGAGAAAAAAAAGGAAGAAAGAAATTATTTGAATAGTTAAGAAAGTGAGAAAGAGAAATTACGGATAAGAATAAAAGGAATAAATAGGATAGATTACAAAATGTAAAGGACATCATTATGTCAACCTCTTCTCCACTCCCCCGTTTTCCAACTATCTTTCTTCTAGACTATCAAAAATAGACATATACTGCCACCACTTATCGCTATCACATCAAATATATGTTATCTCACAATCCAATTTGTTCGCTTGAAATTATAGCTTAATAAAAAAAAAAAAAAATTTTTTTTTTTTTTGAAGCTTCCTTCCGAGATTTCCCAAAAAAAAAAATTTCCCATTCATTTATATAATTACAGTAATATTGTTGGGAAGATAATAATCTTATCATCTCATATAACAAATATACCTGAAATTTACGCTTTAAACATTACAATAAAATTTCAAATTCCAACATTTCAAACAAGAAAAAAAAAAAATCAATACTATACCTGTGTGTATATATTAAGCAAAAAAGATTTGACAAATGGAAAGAAATGTTTGAAATAAAATTTAACGAGATCTCTGGCAATTACGACTGTAAAAACATATATTTATACATAAAAAAAAAAGGAAAGGCCTTTGCATAATTAAATGAATAAAACAGATATTTGCTTTTTCTTTTCTCTCTCTCTCTCTCTCCCTCTTTTACTTTATCTATTTTTTTAAAATTTATATCTCTAAATGATACTTGGAAAAAAAAGAAACAAGTCTCATAATTCAGAAAAGATTTTTTTTCTTACTTCATTACAACCGGAATAAATCAATAAAGCATTTTTTCTATTAAAAAAAAAGAAGTTATATCATTAAATCATCCGAAAAACAAATCAATAAAAGTATTTCTGTTATTAAAAAAGTAAATTCATAAATGAATCGTTTTTGCATTCTTTAATCTTAAAATAGAAACATAACAATACAAACATTCTTTCATTTGTAAAAAAAAAAAAAAAAAAAAAAAAATAAGCAGCTTAATCTGACCATCTGTCGTTGTTGAAATCTTAGAAAAAAAAAAAACAAAAAAAAAAGGAAAGAAATCTAAATTACCCCTTTATTACATCCTCTCTTCTTTATGATTCATGCAAGGAAAATCATGCCAGGTAGTACCATTTGAAAAATTTTTTTCTCCTTTTTTTTTTAACGAAAAATTTTCAACTTAAAAATATTAAAATTTATGCAATTTTTTTTTTCGTAAAATTTCAACTTTTTTTTCAAAAAAATTAAAAATATGCAAATTAATTTCTAGCATGAAATTTATAAAAATTAAAATATTTGTAAAATACGCTCGTTTTTTTTTTTCTCTCTTTCTCTCTTTTTCAATAATTATTTCTTTCACTTTTACAAATTTTGCAATAATGTTTGATGATTACACATATTATTTAGAATGGTAAACATTATTTAGAATGTAAATAAACAAACAAACACGACTTAGAAATGAAATCAAACAATTGGCCAAATTTTGGTATCATCAATGAATAGAGGAGAGTAGTTTTGGTCTAGCTTTACATGACACACACATACACATACATAACACACACACACACACACACATACGCACACACATACACACACAGACAGACACAGACACACGCACACACCAGACAGACAGTAAAACTATTACTAACTAATAAAGAAATGGCAAAAGTTAGATCAGGGAAAATGTCAACAAAAACGATGAACGATTCAATTTTCATGATAACATTGATGAAGCATCACGATGAGCTTGCAGCTGTGCTAATAATAATCGTGCCAAATGAAAACCCGTCGCTGAACTACCGTTATTTACGTTAACATTTGCGTTATTTACGTTAGCACTAGCAACAACAGCTGCGGTAGCACCTGCTGCTGCCGCTGTTGTTGTTGTTGTCGCAATTGTTGTCGCATCTCTACCACCATTTGTGAAACATTTCATTGATGCAGATTCTTCCAACATCCAATTCATTTCTTTTCTCAGCAAATATGTTGATGGATTATTACCTGAAAAATTTCAAAATATATTAAAACGAAAATATATATTATGCAAATTTTGAGGTGATTTTCACCGAACAAAAGAAATTAATTGATCATAAAATTAAATGAAATTAAACTTGATTATAGAACAAATGAAATATCCAAACGCATTGATATATTTTATTTCGGATATTTTTAATTTTAAACTTTCGCAAAAAAAAAGTTTCGGAAATTTCTATATTCAAATTGTTAGACTTTCTAAAAGGTCAAACTAAATCGACAAAGAATTTATTCAAATTTCAAAGGTTAAGATAGGAATTGACAGAATTTATTCCTTCGCTTTGGCTATTCCTTTTTTTTTTTTTTCTTTCATTATAAAACAACGAATTAATTCATCAAAATAATTCAATAATAAATTTATATTCCAAAGAAAAATATACTTGTTGAAAATGGTACTATTGCAGGAGAAGTAGCAATACCAGTAGTAGAAGTAGTAGTAGTAGTAGTAGTAGTAGCAGCAACATCATTAATAATCTGATTTAACAAATGACCACTATTATCCGTCCTTGACCTCTTCACCTTACCACTATTCTCATTTTCTTGATTTCTGAAACAAATGATGAATTTTTCATCCTCAACAAACTTTTAATTCAATATTTTTTTCTCAGTGATACAAAATTTATTCAATGGAAATATTCTTATAAAATTTAATTAATATAAAAATGTTAGCTAAAGGAAATAAATGGAAGAATTAACTAAATGAATAATATAAAGTAGTAAAGTAATAATAGGTAAGTTAAAAATGTTAAGCCTTATATTATCATTCAAAAAAAAAAGTATAAGTCTATTCCTTAATTACAAACAAATCAATCTACATGAATGAAAGAATCTCAAGTTAATCCACTGTTTCAATGCAACATATAGAAAGCATCAAACTACTTAATTTATCCTGAAAAGTATTCTCTTGGGATTATCCTAGTAAAAATGAGGAAGAGAGAGAGAGGGAGAGAGAGAGAGAGAGAGAGAGAGAGATAT